CGTAGCTTTTGCCGGTCTCGAGATGAAAAATCGGTACAGAGGCCCAGCGCACACATAGACACACACGCACACACACACACACACAAACACACACACAGACAACCTCCCGCCAATACGCGTTTTCCGCATTGCACTGCTGCAAAAAACGCATGAAAATAAGAATGTATATGACTTAATCGACCGAAACATTCCTTTCTAGTTGCACTTCCCTCCCATCTAAACTGCACTATATTTTCTTATACGCTATGCCTGAAATGTTTTGCCTTTGTCAAGCCCAACCACTATACTTTGCTTATTTTTTATTGCTCATGGCCTGTTACTATCCCAAATATCCTTTATTAATTCTTAGCTTACTTCTGCTTTATTTTCGGCTTACTGCCATAAAAACTCTTTAGCTTTTAGCTTATTTTCTCATAAGTCTGCAAGCTTTTAACTAATTCTGGAGAGCACTCCCTCACCGCTTAATTCTGAATAATCTTTACTGCTGGCCAATTCCACATTTTGGTCCCACTTTTCCAACTTACGAAAGCAAGAAATTCGCTCTCTAGTCTGCCATAATCACGATTCGTTGTGATGTTGCTGAGAGAATGTTTCTTCTTTTGCTCATGAAATTTGATTCCTTCTCAGTGAACGAAAAATCGAAAGTGAGGGCACGCAATGAAAAGCGAGTGATGACGCCATCTGTCACTTACCTATCACTTTTTTTTCGGCTACAGCTTCAGTTGTTTGGACAAAAATAATACAGAGGACAACGCAGAAGCTAATGAAAAGTCAGCACAATTACTTATTAATGTTTCTTGGGAAGCAACCCCCTCCTTCTCCCTCGCCCTCCTTGCTTACCTTCGCCAGAAAAGAAGCTTTGCAGTTTTGCTTTTTCAAAATAGCATAATCCACACTCCAAAATAAGGATACCCCAGAGTTGTACCTAAATAACAGCAACAAAAGTGTTTTTAACTTATATAGGATATATCATATTAAGGGTGGTATTTTCACCGGTAAAAAACCGGACTTCATTTTGTGCGACACTGTAGAAAACTAAATGAAATTCATCTTTTTTTTTTCTTCATAAAAGCAGCATAAAAAATAAGAGCTCAAGATTAACCGGGAGCTGAGGAAAATGCTTTTTTTTTCCAATTTCAGCTGTAAAAAAAGATACAGAAAAACCAAAAACACAATCTACAAGAATAGTGAGGCATGCGAAATAAAAACGAGATAAATACAAAAAAAAAGTACAATAGTATACGAACCTGGATAATTCTGGAAATGTGGTACTGTCAAAACTCGTGAAATTTAAAATTCCCCAAAAATTAAAAAGAAACAAATTTCCCATTTCAAGTTTCCAGAGTATCCGTTAAACATATATCATCAGTTTTAAAAGGTGCGGTGGTGGGGCTTCGGTGACTTTCCTTTCTAAAGATCCCTCCAGAACACTATTTAAATTTGAGCTTTAATTAAATACGTTCTAAAAATCCAAAAAAAGAAAAAAAAACAAAAGTATTTTTGCAGCTCATTCGAGTACCGTCAGCAACCACCTAGTCGCAGGGCCTAAGTACCAGGTGCTTGGGCCTTATATATCGGTAAAGTCATTAAAACTGTACACAGTTTTTACAGCGGTTCCAGATCAACATGTTTAACATCGGGATGTTTTTTAACAATCTCTTCCTCGATTCGATCAACTTCATCCGCTATCCTGTTCACAACATTTTCACCATGATGAAGCATAAAACGCCGCAGACTCTCTTCATCCTTGATCTTTTTGACTTCCTGGGATGAATGCCGGAATTACCATACATTATTCAAAGGTAAACAATTTTTTTAAAACATTACTTTTGTACTTTTTTAATTTCTAAATTTTATAATTTCTTATCAGTCGTGTTCATTACAAACTCTATCATAATTATTGTATAATATTTTCTTATTTTTACACTTTTTTTTTAACTTCTAAGTTCCCCAAATTTCTTATTTTTAGCCGTGTTCATTATAAATCCTGTCAAGATTATTGCATTTTTAAGGTAGAAACAATAACGGCATTTTGGACTGGAGAAAGGAGAATTCGAAGAAAAAAAAAAAAAAACATTTCGTTCTTTTTCCTAGAAGTATGTTTTCACTAACAACTGCTCTGTTTTTCTGTTGATAAAATTTTCTTCCACAAATAAATGATTTATGATGAAGTTTGTAAAGAATTAACATCTGCTGCGCTGCACTCTGCCACACAAAATAAAAAATAACTCATTTCAAAGTCAAAAAGCGTTTCAGACACAAAAAAAAAACACTGAACACATTCGTTCATTTGCATGCGGTCAGAAAAGCATATGGTGTCCTGTATCAGGTATATGAGGATTGAAATATGTATCAGTGAACAAATCATGGTGCGGTCTTAGTTCCATCCCTTAGCCGTAAACACAGAGAGTGGGAATCATCAGTACAGCATCCTGTATAGGTTGTACAAGGGACTAAATTCTTAAGAACAGACTTCTTTTTTTTTTTAAATCGTGCTCATTAGAGGCCATCAGCAAGGTGGAGAAACCCCATGGTGCGCCCTACGGTACTTATGTGGTCTCGGAGAACGCAACAACGAATTGAACGGAGAAGTTGCCAGCTGCATCGATGCGCGACAACGAACGTCGATGATGACATACAGCTGCTCAAGTATTCAAGCAAATATTCATTACGCATCATTCGCAAAAGCTCATTCCCATTGCCCTTTTAGAGAAACTGTTTCTGCCAACCACACTAATGTGTAATTCTACTAACAACAAGCAAATTATTGGGTCTAACCCCTTTCTAGCTAGCTGTTCGATGAAAACTTGGTAGTAACATTAACACAGGTTTACATGCTGAATGTCCAGTTGGTGTTGGTCAGCGCGCAAAACAGAAAAAGAAATGAAACAGAGGAGAATTAGAAAGAGAGAGTGCGAACCGCATGAACGCAAAAATACGACAAATTTTAGGAACAGTATGTCCGTGTTTCATCCCTAAGCTGTAAAGGAAATGGAAAACGGAGTAAAAACTTATCTTCGCCATACCATTATCATTTCTAAAATACCCTGAATTACATCAAATTCGTTTAATTAGATTTAATTATATTTCGCTTAATTGTATGTTTAATTATATTATAATTGATTATCGTTCAAGCAACCTAATTCCTTTGTAGTTTCGCATAATTCTCACTGAGAAACACAAAAAAATATGCCCAAATAAAATTTTCCAAAACGGACACTTCCAGTGCAATAGGAAATGACCTATGTTGTTGATCACATCAGAGATGACGTACGATGGCGTTTTCTGGAGTGGTGGTGGTCTTCCAAAGCAGCAACAGTGCAATGCTATGTATCATCAGAGAGTGCATGCAGTATTCGAAATGTCACTTTTTCAGAAGCAGCATCCTATACATCAACTTTGCCCATCCTGGGCCCTTCGGTTACGCACCACCATGACAACAGTGTTTTATAAGAGCCACAAAATATAAGGGCTGCCGAGATGCCTATCTCTTTTCAATAACTGAGATATTTCACATTAGTCTCTGCTGCTTTTTTCCCCTCTTCACCTCTTCTTTCATCCTATTTCTGTTTCTTACAATTTAAGGCACAAAATCCGTAACATTTACTAGGAATTAAGAGTAGCTATAAGCGGATGAAAGTGAAAAAAAAGTTGACAAGGCACACAGACAGAAATGATAAAAAGAATATGGAGAGGGATCTCAGCTAAATAATCAGCTCTTACTACTTCCAGCTAAATTGTCAAAGCACTTTCGTAAATATTATGGGCTTTAGTCTTTCAGTATTTCTTATATACTTGCCACTCTTAGCTAATATCTACATTTCGAGTAGCATTTATGATTCTGCTTAAGCCTAATAAGTGTATGTGCCTTAGCGTCTAGCACGCTGCTTAGTCCTAAATCTGTTTTAACGAGATTTTTTGCAGATTATTCATTGAAGAACTGCAGCTATGCAAAAGATCAATGAATGATCCGTAAAAAATCTCGCTGGAACAAACTTAAGGCAAATTCGAATGGGATTTTTCAAACCGAAAAGAACATCTGCTAATTGGTGCTCAGCATCGCGAAAGCAGATGTTCCAATTCACACAGATAGATAAGTATACACAAAAAATTTATTTTGTAAAGAAACAGGCTAGGAGAAAAAACTGAAAATTTAGTTTCCAACAAAACCTAGACGGAGATGCACACTACTCTTGCATTAAACTCTCCTACTAATTGTTTATAAGCAGGGGAGCGACTTGTGGCCCATAAGAAAGGGATCGTCACTCCCCCTCCCCCCTCCCTCACCCAAAGATAAAGGGTGATCGATCCCCGCCAACAAAGATGGGACAGTCCCATACAGATAAAAGAAACGGTCCCTCACCGAAGAAAATACGGCTCCCCTAATAAAAAAGGATCAGCCCGATTCTTTCATCAAATCATTTACAGCAGCCTGTTCCGCCCCAGGTATCTGGTAAACAACCTAAAGGTGGTGCGCGGATGTCCTATAGATTTGCGGGGGGCAGGTGGGGAGGACTTTCTTTCTTTTATTTTTTATATTTTTCTCCTACAAATGCTACGGCAATCTCACGCCGATAAATACTGTCCAGAAAAAATCTTCGGACTAATCCCCCTTTTCCATACCTCCATAATGTGTAAAAAATTTGGATGCTTGTAAAAACTGTAAATACTGGATGCTAATTCTGGATATTTGAAAAAAAGAAAAAAACAACACATCATGCTCCACAGTAACTTCAGAAACAACAGAAACCTAATTTGTTAATAGGAAGCAAGTGAAAATTATGAAATTTGAAATCTGCGCAGGGCCACCGCTGAAAGATACAAACTGTTCGTGTGAAAACTATTGTGCTTTTGACAGTGAAAACCGTTTTGTCCATCACTCTGGCTGAGAAGTAGAAAATGACAGAAAGTGGTTCGAAAGACGGTACACAGACAAAAGCAATCAACTACTAATGAAACAGCTGATGGTTCCCTTTTCGGAGAATTATGCAATTTGGGCTCTTTGACATGCGTCACTATCAATTTGCCATCGAAATGAACAAATGAATCGCAGAAACAGTGCCCATCCCTTAGGCGAAATCGAATCTTTGACCTCAAGCATGACAGCAGTTCTGCGGGCATCTGGATGGTTCCACGCAAATTTCCAACCTAATAGAAAGCTTACCGGCTGCCGGTACGAGGATGCGTTTTTTGCGCAGTTCCCCCCGCAGGTTTTTTT